TTGATGCTTCCAAAGTTGCAAGGTAATAAACTGACAGAAGTGAGAGAGCAATTTACGCAAGAGTTTCAACTTCCACAGGCCACAGCATACATAAGACTTTAATTTTTTGATAAAATTGTGTAATATTTTAACCATAAACTAAAATAATTTTATATAGTTAGATATTATAAAAATTTGATTTATCAAAATTATATTTCAAATTTAATCTAGTTTTACAAGAATTTATATTTTAATTAAATATACTTTTTTACAATTTGTAACGATAGTACTTACTACATAGTTTGAAATAATCAATTTGTGGCAATCTTTTTTTAAAGAAGAAAATATTTCTTATCTTTTGTTGGCCCTTCTCTTGACAACAAGTTTTGTTGTCATGGTGGTATGATATGACTAACACATATGTTGTCATATTATGGCATTTATACTTGTTATAAAAAAAACCAAGACAACATCAGCCATTTCCCTCATCAATTGATTGGGTCTAACGACACCAGATTGGGAACTACCAATGACACCAAATGTTTTGGGACCATGTCGCGGAGAGGGACAACGTCGGGAGACTCGAAGGTACGCCCAAACGTGACCCGAAGATGCTTCGAAACACTGGGGGTGTGCTATTTGATATATGTCATATTTACAAACATCCAAAAGACGTGGTCGAGTGGGAGCAATGCTGTCAACATCACCTCGAAGGTGAATGACCTCTTTTTTTGAAGTGGAGAAAAGGGTTTTCAAGTTCATGGATATCTAGAACCTTCTAAAGAGGGGCCCTAAATTTAGCGGTCGGGTCGAGGTCAACGGAAATTTAGCGATCCAAAGTCTCGAGACTAGAGAGTACTCGACGAGTGGGGTGGCGTATCCATCGACTTCAACGTGTTGGGGTCAATTTCAACGCACTTGGGGACAAACCTAGCACTCAAAGCCGTGTGATTGAGACAAATGCGACAAAGAAGGTGAAGACAAAATGAGCATCAATGTTAATAGCAACCGCCTTAAGGAATATGGCTGGGTTCGAAAAACCGAAAACTACAAATCTAACCGAAACCGATCGAAACGAGCTAGAAAAAAAACTGAACCAAAAAAACTGAAATCGAATGTAAAAAACCAAACTGAACCATTATTGTTTGGTTTCCGTTTTGGTTTTCACTTTGGAAAACCGAACCGAACAGAATAAATCGAACTTTCTTAGTTACTTTGTTTTATTTATATGAGTATATGTGATATGAAAAAAATCATAAAAATATAAATGTAAATAATTGATTAGTCGATTAAATTTATTTTTCTTAACTATTAAACATTTTAAACCATATTATAAACTTTAAAAAAACCTAAAAATATAAATGTAACTAATCCTGATACGATATTATATTAACAATAACAATCAACACGAGTAGTTTATTTATTTACATAAAAAAATTTGATGCTATAGAAAAATAAATGTTATACCAAAAATGTAAATTTTTCGTAATTGATATTTACATACAAAATCTTAAGGAGTATTTGGAAGCTTTTAGGTGTTTGTTGGGCACTCGACACACATTTTTTATGTAAAATTGAACTGGACTCTAACCTTCTGTTTGGTTTTTGGTTATTAATTATTATGTAAAAATCAAACCGAAAAACCGAACCCAACCCTACATATTGTTATTGCTTCATCGAATTAGTACTCTTACAACTTTTAATGCTTATAATTTCTTTTTTAAGAAAACTGAAATAACCGAAAAAAACCAAAATAAAAACCGCATAAAACCGAACCGACTAACTAATGGTTGATATATTTTTTATATGAAACCGAACCGAATAACTAATGGTTGATATATTTTTATATGAAACCGAACCGAACCGAACCGCTAACTTACTCTTCGTTTTGTCTTTGGTTTTAGGTGAAAACCGAACCGCTAAAACCGAATTCACCCCTATTAAGGAACAAATGAAGGAGGATGGGTCGCTGATGTCGAAGAGGGAGTTGAAGATACACAACAACATGATGATGCTGCCCACACTATAATTAGAGGGGGAAAGCAGTAGTATTTCTTTATAATTTTTAAATTTCCAAGCATTTTTTTAATTTTTAGTATTTTAAATTTTCTCTCAAGCATGTTAAATGTCACCCATTTTATTCACGAAAATATTTTGTATTTTTTAGCATTGTTTATAGGGCGATAGTGTTGCAATTGTATATTGCAATTGTTTTGGACTAGCACATAAAATTCCAATATTTCCAATATAATTCTTGTGTTTTTTTCACGAAGGACTAGTGGAGAGGGACGGGGAGAGGCATGGGGAAGGTCCTCCCTTAGTAAATGCTCTTTAACTCCCAATATTATTCTTGTGTTTTTTTATTTCATTTTACAACGACTCTTGGTCATTAAATTCACACTTTAGTACTATTCCAACATATTCAAATAATAAAATTCTTCATATGAGTTGAACTACTTCCGTTTCAAATTTACAAGTTACATAATCCGGAAGATACTTTCATTTTTTTGTTAGGATTCAATTACCACCTAAAAATTTTAGCATCACTAATTCAAAGTCACAATACCATTACAAATGTTAGCATAACTTAAAAAAACACTAAGGCTCCGTTTGTTACGCAGAACTCAAATTATAGAATTAGAATTAAGGACAACAATTCTAATTCTATTGTTTTGTAGCACAAAAATATACGAATTTGGAATTGGTAGTGCCAAAAAATAAATTGGAATTGGTAGTGCCAAAAATAAATTGGAATTCGAGAATTCAATTCCATAGAATTTCAACTCCAATTCAATTTCAATTTCATCTGTCAATTCCGTGTACCAAACGGAGCCTAAAGTTTGATACCATTTTCAAAATTACAAAGTCCAAACGCTAAAGCAAATGCCACACAGAGTCATTAACCAAAAGACTCATCATTCTAACAACTCCATTTGTCACTACACTGCATGTTTAGTTCATTAGAAAGCAATGCCAAATGTCTGTGTTTTCCCACCAGGGTTTGCTATGCACAAGAAGCAAGCCAAATACAGTAATTGGCTTGTTCCATGCGAGTGAGAAAACGCGGCATAGAACTGCAAGAATGATTATCGAAAGCCTAGAGGCCACATAAACACAGACAAGTATGAGCAGTTTTAGATACCAATGTTTACATGGTGTCAGTGTTATCGAAGTTTTAACATCTGGATGCTGTTTCGGCACTTTCTCCATTTAGGTTGGGAGGAGTGAACTCCGACCTGAGATCTTTACTATGCTTCATGAAATCGAGCTCCAGTTTCTCCATTGAGGATTTGATTTTGTTGAATTGGGCATGTAGATTGGTCTGCACCAGTTGAGGTGAAACTGAGTTGGGATTTTCTAGAACTTTGACAACACTGATGACTGCAGAATCATGTTGGACACGTTTTTATTATGTGGCCTGAGTTATCATTTATCTAATTAATTGATCATTGACCTAATAAATACCCTACGTATTTATTTGGTAATTATTCGATGGACGTAATTACCCTTATGACCTAATTAGGGTTTCCCCTTGGGTGTATATAAATAGAGGTATTAGGCAGAGATCAATACACCAATCTTACGCCTCCTCTCTGCCTCTCTATTCTCGTGAGTCTCATCCTCACCTTAGTCATCATAACGATACACCCTAAACGGGAACTCAATCTGCGTGAGAATCATGGCCTCATCCCTAACTGCGTTTACAGGATTATCAGGTACACATGATTAAATCCCTAATTTATATTTTATGTTTAAGAATTGATCAACATGTGGTATCAGAGCATTATGTTGATAAATCAATTTTTTTTTCCCCTGAATTGTAATCGGAAATCATTCAGTGTGCAAATTCCTTTTGAATTGTTTTTTCCGATTTGGATCTATAATGGTGTCTCCACAATAATTCACCTGTGGCTTTATTTTCTTTCGCTGCATAATCGGATCGGAAAGTTTTTCTTTTTTCCCTAAACCTAACGAAACTATGTAGAGGTTTTCAAGCATCAAATTTGGGGAAGATCGTGTTTTAACACTAAAAGTAATCAGTTTTCTAAATTAAGGGCTTAAGTTTTCCGATTATGAGTAAACACCAATTTATTAGTAAATTGATTATGGAGTTCCACACTATAGTCCATACGATTAAAAAAAAAATTATTTTTCTTTTATGATTTTGATTCCAGTAACTTTGAATCTAAATAAATTATTCATGTTCTTCATCCTTATTTTGATGAAATCATCTTGTTTTGGTATTTGATTTGGAATATAATTGTGTTTCCTTAAATTAGATGGCATATCTCACTTTTGCATGATATATTCTGTTTCCTTATTTTATTGACTTATTTTACCAAGAATAGCAAAACTAAATAAGGGATATGCTAAAATACCATTAAAAAGTTAATTTTTTTTACTTGTTGGAAAATCTCTTGCCTTATATGCCTTTTGATTTTCTAATTAAATTAATCTTAATGGGTCCTCAAAATTTTTCCGTAGCCCCGCCCCAAACCGCTTTAACTTTTGCGGTTAATTAATTATTAACATTAAATTTATAAATCATTTGACTAATCTCAAATAAAATTTATTTTATGATTAGTTAAATTGATTTATTTTGCTTGACTTGAATAATATCTTAGAATACACTTCTGCCCAAAGGTGATGTGTAACATTTGTAAAATTTATTTCAAGTCTTATTAAGCATTGTCATTTAGTGCATATCCTTAAATAGATATTTGCATGACACTCGCCTTAGATACATAATATTTCACTTCTGTCCAAAGATGATGTGTTATAATTGTGTAATGCAAACTAAATATATATGTGCATTAAAATTTAAATGTTTCACTTCTGCCCAAAGGTGATGTGTAACATTCAAATTGCACATGATTATTTTATTATTCATAATACTTGAATAAGTGGTCATAACCAAAGTGAAAGCCATTTGTTTAAGTAGAATTAAATTTAGTCTATTATTTTTGGTGTTATAATAGACTCTTATCACAGCTTCATTACTATATAATGGTCCTTATCTTCGCCAGCCTTAGTTCATTACCCCTTAAGTTCTTCTTTAGTTATGTGTCTTATTTCTCTCATCTAAATCCACTATCAGCCCCAAATATGGGAATTGAAACCTTGAACGGTGCGAATTTCTCTTCATGGAAAGATTCACTGATGCTAACTCTTGGCATGTTGGATTTTGATTATGCACTGAGAGAGCCTGCCCCTCCTGCCCTCACTGATAAAAGTACTGCTGAAGATAAAATAGTACATGAGAGATGGGAGAGGTGTAACAGAATGGCTCTTATGCTTATTAAAAATTCCATCAGCATAATCATCAGGGGAGCTATTCCAGATTCATCTAATGCTAAAACATATCTGGCTTCCGTGGAGGAACAATTCAAAGCAACTTCTAAGGCACATGCTAGTACTCTTATTTTGAAGATGGTGACTACAAAATATGACGGAAATAGCGGCATTCGTGAGCACATCATGATGATGAACGACATGGCCCGCAAGCTCAAGGGATTAGACATGGAGATCAGTGAAGGTTTTCTGGTGCACTTCATAATGACTTCTCTTCCTGCATCTTTTGAAGCTTTCAAGGTCAACTACAACACCCAGAAGGTCAAGTGGTCGATGAATGAGTTGATTGCTATGTGCGTACAAGAAGAAGAGCGTCTGAAGCTGGACAAACCTGATGTGGCTTACCTCATGACCGCTAATCCAAAGAAGAGGAAGGGCAATGTNGGAAAGAAACCGAAGAACACTTAAGCTGGGGAATGGAACAGAACTAGCTGTCGAAGCCGTGGGAACCTTAGAATTAATAATGAAAACTGGTTTATGTATTAAACTTTATGATACCTTATATATTCCTGAGATTACTCGGAATTTAGTATCAGGACCAAAGTTAGACATAGACGGTTTTGATGTTTCTCATGGTCATGGCAGACTTACTATTAGTTTCAATTCTCAAGTGTTTGGTCATGGTTTTCTGGATGGTGGTCTCTATAAATTAGAACTAGATGATGATTTTTCCAAATCTTTGTTGTCATATAATATCAATCAGACACTAACAAAGAGAAAACGAAAACGAGACTTAGAAACTTCATCCATGTTGTGGCATCAACGCTTAGGCCACATTTCACGAGAACGTTTATCTAGACTCGTGAAGAATGAAGTGTTACCATCTCTCGATTTCAATGATTTTGGAACATGTGTCAAATGCCTTAAAGGTAAAATGACATCAGTGAATAAGAAAGGTGCCACTAGGAGTTCTAATTTATTAGAGCTCATTTACACTGACATTAGTGGTCCTTACTCTATCACTGGCATAACTGGACATAATTCATTTATCACTTATATTGATGATTATTCTCGTTATATGTACTTGTATCTCATTAAGGAAAGATCTGAATCACTTACAACTTTTAAAGATTATAAAACTGAAGTTGAAAAACAACTTGATCGTCAGATAAAAGTTGTAAGATCAGATAGAGGAGGTGAATATTATGGTAGACATACTGATGTGGGTCAAGCTCCTGGTCCATTTTATGAGTTTTGTAAGGGCCAGGGGATCGTGAACCAATATACTATGCCTGGTACTCCTCAGCAGAATGGTGTTGCTGAGAGAAGAAATAAGACCCTAATGGACATGGTACGCAGTATGTTAGCCAACTCAGGTTTACCTCTATTTCT